TCTCTCTAAAATAAATTTTTAAATATTTTTAAAAAACAAGAAAAAGTAAGGCGGTGTCTGTGTGGCAAGAAAAGGTCACTTGGTGAGTGGTGCAGTCAGATCAAGGACACAGTACGAGTCTTCATCAGCCCACCTGCTGGATCTGTGTGATTTGAATTAGGTCACTTATACGACTGGAATAAAGTACCAATGGCAAAAAATAGGTAACTGGCATGATATGCAAATGTAAATTGATACCAAAAAGTGATGTCCACTCATCTGAATTTGGAGTACACCCATGGGATCAGTTGCCATTCCCTGCTTTCCACTCACTGGTGGCCAGCCCCCCTACAGAGGCTGAAGGAAGGACTGGCTATGGCAGGAGCTTCAGCCCAAGTCTCTTCGGAATAGATCCCCCTCACGTTGTCCTCATCACGGCCTGTGAGTCACCGGTGACTTTAGACAGACTCTCTTGTTTGGGTCCACACCCACCTTTGTCTGCATGAAATATGTGGCATTTCCACCTCATAGACACACACCTTTGAGTCTTAAATAACTGGGGAATTTTCCCCAGGTCTTCTGGTTCTTGCTGGTTTGGTAACATTACTTCTGCTAATTCTGGTCATCTCCAGTAATTCTCTCCTCTCTCTCTCTTTCACGCCCTCCCCACACGCATGTGTATGAGTGCACGCGTGCATATGTATTACACACTTTAATTCCCAAATGCTTCTAACTGGTGGAGCCTGTATTTTACATAATTTTCGGCTTCCAAGAACAGCCATCAGTTTTGAATGTACATGTATGTCCTTATTGCAGGTATTTAAGATGAATTATCCACTTTATCAGGTATCTCTGATTCAAATAAATGCCAAGCAAGAAAAGAAAAGCTATTTAAGAATTGGAATTATGTAATGGGTGTTACATACTTACACAAACTGCTCTCCATCTATGCCTGCTTATAGTGTGGCTTATTCATAATGATATCATTAGATTTATATTTTGTTTGACTTCAAAAAATTCCATTTTCCCGACTTTCAGAGCCCAGTGCCCGTATTTCCAGGTCAACTGCTCCCGCGGCCACTCCTCTCCGTGGTTCGGCAGACAGTCGAGCGCAGTCTGCGTGCAGGGCTCTGTGCGAGGTTCTGTGGCCACAGCGATGACTCCCTTGTGGCACTTGTCCTGAAACATCTATGACTTAAGAAGCTTGGAAGCAAATAAACCAGGATGTAGCGTGTTAAGTGTTGTAACAGAAACATAAAGAGACCAAGAAACTAGATCCTCTTTAGGGGATTTTCGGAGAGCCACCACAAGGAGGCACTGAATGAACTGGGCTTTGGAGCATGAATAGAAGTTTACCAGATGAAGGCACCAGAGAGAGGGGGAACCTTCTAGGGGCAAGAATCATGATATGCAAACTCTCTGGATCAAAGGTGGCGTGACCGCGAAGTACTGAGACATTTCCTGTGGAAGGAACATAGGACATAGGAGATGGATCTGTAGGACACGGAGTTGAAAAAGTTGGCCAAGGCCATATCACAAAGACCCTAATATACAAAGCTGGGAGTTTATTCCTTTGGTAAGAACAGGACTAGCTTTGAATTTGGAAAGGGAACACACACACACGCATACACATACACATACCCCCTGCTATTATTAATCAAATGACTATACTGGGATATCCTATGTTTTGTCTTGTCTTTTTCCTTTATTGGCTGTTATAAACGGTTCTGTAATGAACAGATTTATTTATTGGTCTTTGCACAGATTCTTAATTATTTCCTTAAGATAAACCGTTTGGAATGAAATTGCTCAGGGAAAGGGATGCACATTTTTAAGTCTTTAGAGAATCAAACTGCCCTCCAGAAAGGCTACGCCAGTTTCATTCACACCAACAGTATTTTAGAGTGTTCTTTCCCCCCACACCCTCCTCATGGAAATTATAATTTTTATAAGTCCTTACCTACTAACACACAATTAGCAATATCTCACTGTATGAATTCCTCCCCCCCTTTTTTTTTTTGCTAGTGAAGTTTCTTTTTCACGGAAAACAGGCACTTTACATTCCTGCTTCTGGAAGACATTTATACTCTGACTTTTGTGCGGGCATGTTTGCCATTTTATTGCTTCGTAAGAGCTCTTTGTATATTAAGGAGATTCTGGTTTTGCCAGAATATGGTGTAAATAAGTTCTTTCAATTTGTAATTGTGTACCTGTCTACCCTCCCCTACTAAGTTTAGCCTGTGGGGAAGAGACGGCTTTGCATCCCCCATGGCACACAACATGTCTCTCTTCTGTTGTGGGTGCTCAGCAAATATGCTGGGAAGAATATTTGCATTATTTTTGTTCAGCCTCCTTTATAAAACCTGTTCTGCCTCCCTCTGCAAGAGGCAGGGGATCGGTTGAATACACATATTCCCCTTATTCATAGCAATATTTGAAGTTGTCTTGTTTCCTCCATTCAACAAATATTTCCTGGGCATTTTTTTTTAATTTTTAATTTTTAATTTTTTTATAAACATATAATGTATTATTAGCCCCAGGGGTACAGGTCTGTGAATCACCAGGTTTACAGACTTCATAGCACTCATCATAGCACATACCCTCCCCAATGTCCATAACCCCACTGGGCACTTTTTTTTTAGAATTTCTTTTTTTATTTAGTTATTTAATTGACTGTGAGAGAAGGAAGACAAGCAGGGAGAGTGGGAGACGGAGAAGCAGGCTTCTCGCTGAGCAGGGAGCCCGATGCGGGACTCAATCCCAGGATCCCAGGATCATGACCTGAGCCGAAGGCAGATGTTTAAGGACTAAGCCACCCAGGCACTGCTACTGAGCCCTTTTTATATGCCAGGCATTGTGCTAGATGCTAGGGATACGGGAATGAGCGAACCCTCCCATTCTAGTTGAGGGAGACAGATAAAAGGATAAATCAATAAAATATGTATTATGTTAGGTTGTAATCAGCATTAGGAAGAAGATCAAAACAGAGGGGGTGGCCAGGGGGACCCACCGAGATGGTGAAAGAGGTGGAGGTGTTACCGGGTGGATATTGGCAGGAGAAGCCCTCTGAGCAAAGTGACCAACACGTGCAAAGGTCCCCAGGCAGGAGAATGCATGCGATGGATTCCTGGAACAGCAAGAAGGTCAGCGTTGCTGGAGCGCAGGGAGCAAGTTAACGAGGCTGGGGGAGGGGCGCAGGTCGCACACCTCTTTGCAGGCCCTTGTAGGAACTTGACTCTGTCTAAATGAGATGGGAGAGTTTGGAGCCAAGAAGTGGCGGTGTCTGCCTTACACTGCAGAGCGACAGCCTTGGCTGGTGTGCTGGGACTACAGTGCGGTTGGGGGGTAAAGGTAGAAACAGAGAGACCCGCTAAGAGGGTCTGAGTAATCCCGGAGAGGCCATGGCACCTTGCACCAGTTGAGAGCAGCAGCGATGGTGAGGAAGTGTCAGATTCTGGGCATATTTTGACAAGAGTAGAGCCAACAGCATTCTGCAACGAGTTAGACGTAAAATGAGTGCGAAGGAAATAGGGGAATAAAGACTGGTTTTGAGAATTTGGGCTTGAGCAACAGGAGGATGCAATTAACATGATGAAGTCGCAGGCAGAGCCGGTTTGGGGGAAAGATTAAGACTCTGACTTTGCTTGGGTGCCTGGGTGGCTCAGTGGGTTAAGCATCTGCCTCCAGCTCAGGTCATGATCCCAGGGTCCTGGGATCGAGCCCCGCATCATCCCCCACATCATCCCCCCCATCCCCCCCATCATCCTCCCCCATCATCCCTCCCCATCATCGGGCTCTCTGCTCAGCAGGGAGCCTGGGTCCCTTTCTCTCTCTCTGCTTGCTTCTCTGCCTACTTGTGATCTCTGTCTGTCGAGTAAATAAATAAAATCTTAAAAAAAAAAAAAAAGGACTCTGACTTTGCAAATATTGAACGTAAAACATCTCAGACCAAGTAGAGAGGTTGAGCGTAGACACTAACAATAGTTGTACATAAGAAGTGGGATTTTAGAAATGTTTTTTTCTTTACCACTCCTCTGGCTGTTTGTCTTCTTTTCTTGGTCCTTTTGAATTTTTCAAAATCACAAAATCATAAGCAAGTTTTGTTTTTTTTTGTTTTTTTTTGTTTTTTTACAATGGAAAAAAGATTAGCTACATGTAATTTTTTTAGGGGTAGGGTAGGGGCAGAGGGAGAGAGAGAGAGAGAGAGAGAGAATCTTTAGCAGGCTCCATGCCCAGCACAGAGCCTGAAGCAGGGCTTGACCTCACAACCCTGAGATCATGACCTGAGCCCAAATCAAAAGTCGCACACTTAACTGTCTAAGCCACCCAGATGCCCCATAGCTACATTTAATTTCTTAAAAATAATAATAATAACTTGACTTATGAGCTAGAGGGCAGGAATAATCGAGTACTGCAGACCTTCTTGTGATCTGCTTCTACCCAGAACTTGAAAGTCAAGGCAATCCAAAAAACATTCTCTATGATCCTACTACAGACCAGGCACTCTGCTCAGGTTCAGGGGATGCTGAGATAAATATGGGCCCAGCTCTGAAGGAGCTCAGAGTTCAACAGGCTCTGGGGCCAGCCTCCATAAGTGCTGTAATCGAGGTCCCAACCAAGAACCAGGGGAGAATGAAGGAGGGAGGGAGTAAGGAGGATGCATAAAATCCCCATATCATAAAAATGTCAACACCAAAAAAGTCCCACATTGATCAAATAGGTCGCCTCTGGGTCACACTGTGTGCAATTTTAATGGCTAATGGGAGCACCAAGAGGGTGGACAGATGGGTGATCAGATCACTCTTTACTGAAACGTAACACATGTGGCAAAGGAAGTCCAAGGACATCTTTGGAACAAGGGAAGCTCCACTCCCACCCCACCCCCACCATCACACACACACACACACACACACACACACTCTAAGGCATATGTGAGCCAGTGTCCCACTGCCATGTCTGGGTAAGGGCTTAGGTCAGCTGACCTCTTGGGAATCTTCCAGATATATCTTAGCTTTGTAGCTCCAGTCTGTGTATGGGGTGGGGGGGGGGTATCCCAGGCCACAGGCAGGCAGCACTGGCCCCTCTGGCACAGCAGATGTTCCTTAGCCCCTCCTGATGCGCAGCAGAGAGATGTGGATGGGAGGTCCATGGGTATGCAGTTCCTGGCAGAGCTGGAGGGCAAAAGAAGCAGGGATCCTTCCAGCCCAAATCTGGCCCATGAGCTCACCACAGGGCAAGGACAGGAAGGGACAGTGGGACACGATGTACGAGGAGGCCAGCAACCCTTCCCAAGCCACCCACAGACTGGGCATGGACTAGATGCTGCATGCACAGTATGTCATTGGACCTCACAACAACCCTATAAAGCAAGTAGTAGTAACTTCGTTTTATAAGGGAGGAAAATAATACAGAATAGCTTACCCAAGGTCACACAGTTAGGAAGTGAAATTCACCCCTTGATCTATATGGCTCCAAAGTTTGTTCTTTGTCTGAGACCAGAACTCTGTGTCTGTGCCCCATTCCCAACAAGAACTCATACCCAACACCAACACAGCCTGCTTCCTGCCCCTCAGCTCTGGACCTGCTCCTTTCTCCCAGGCCTCTTTCTGATTGTGGAAATAGTTACCAGTTTGGGAGCTCAGATCTGACACCATTCTGGGTTCCCTCCTTTTTTTTTTTTTTTAAAGATTTATTTATTTTATAGAGACAGAAAGAGGGCGGGAGGGGCGGAGGAAGAAGGGAGAGAGAGAGAATCTCCAGCCAACTCCACGCTGAGCACAGACCCCAATCGATCTCACAATGCTGAGATCGTGACCTGAGCTGAAACCAAGAGTCTTAACCTACTAAGCCACCTGGATGCCCCTCTGGCTTCCCTCTTTGACTAGGATTCACACTTGCTACTTTGATTATCATGTGCTGTAGGCATTCGTCATTTCTCTGGCTGTCCCGTTTCAATCTGCACCCACCCCCGGGAACTCCTTATTATGGAGCCCTGATGGGCCCCTTTCTGCTAAGATAACTTCAAGCGTCCAGATATTCCCTCTTCTTATCTCCTGGCATCAAGATGTGGGCACAAGAGCGAGGCTGAGCTGACCTAGTCTAACCTTCCAATGATTCACACCATCCCCAAAAGCTCTGACCCACCACTGGAAGCTTTGTCCAGTGATCTGGGTCTTAGGGGAATTTTCCCAACTTATACAAAAATATCCCACTCTTGGTCCCCATCTAGAATATACATCTATGGGGTATTTTCTGCCTAGCATTCCTAGTTCCTCTAGGGCCTGTCCTCATTCCATGTGGTTCAGTTTGAGCTGTCAGTTACGGTAGACCTTGCAGGGCCATAAGACTAGTCTTTTCCTAGTATAATATGCAGGTATTGGGAAAGGAAAGTACCTGTGACTCTGGGGCTGTCACAGCCACCTTTCCTTACATATGGAGAGAGATTCTGAAGAACAAAGAGCTAAGAGAAGTCAAGAAAGAAAATCTTGATGATCATATCTAAGCTGCTGGATCTAGCCATAACTGAAGATGGACAAATCACTTCTAGGTTTCTCAGTCAATACCTTGCCTTTTCTGTGTAAGCTCCAATGAGCTGGATTTCTGCTACTTGTAACCCAAAGTCCTGCCCATTCATATAATTGACCTTCCAAGGGCTAGAAGTCCTGGCCTTCCTATGGCCTGAGGAAATTGGGGGTGAGGGAAATCATTTTTTTTACATAACACAGAAGGGGAATTCCCAACTCAGGAAAAACAGGCAGAAGCTAAGCCAAGCAGATTAGATTTAGTTCCTGTAACTCTCCTCTATAGGATTTAGTTCCTGGCCCAGAAAGTTCCCACTCACCTGCTGCATCAGCCTCTCTGCCACTCTGGGGTCCGTGAGGTCTTCTGGGGAGGCCACTCTCAGCTGCAGGAGGAGAAAGCCTCCAACCCCACCTGAAAATTTAGAAAAGCAGGAGATGAACCTATCGGTAAGTCAGTTCAGGAATGGGGACATGACCTGTGCTACCCAGCCTCTGTCCCCCACTCTGCACCTCTGGGCTCACTCTCATGTGTAAATGTGTCTGTGCTCACATGGGATCTTACATTTATTCACCGCAAAGAGAAAAAGGATTCCCTCTTTCCAATAACTAGGCTCCTTGTAGTGTCTTCCCAACAAGAGTGAAGGAAAGGATCTCTAAAGATCCACATTTGGATCCATCCACATTTGGAGAAGTCAAAAGAATAGTGCAAAGAACGAGAAATGAAAGCGAAATCTAGAATGTTCTCAAGGCCTGGAAGCTCTGGATGAACTGTTGGGAAAGGATCCAGACAGGGAGAGCGCCAGTGAGAGGCCAGCTCTCAGAGGGGAAGCCTCAGCCAATTCGTCCAGCTCTAAGTTGGCAGAAGCTTCAATCCAGCCTTCTCAATCTAGCCACTCTGGGGGCAAGTTCTGCCTTCTGTGGGGCCCTAACCCCCTTGCCTTCCCCAGCCACCATGGAGTCATTTCTTCCTACCAGAATACTGTTAGATTGCACTTCTATATTTACAGAGATAGAGATAGATACAGATATCTGATATTTATAGATACTGATACTGATATTTACAGAGACAGATAGATAGATAGTATTGATACTGTATTGATATCAATGTATATCTCTTTCCTCCTTGTTTTGGCTGCCATATGCATATTTCATGGCTGGACTATTGACAAGAAAGTGACTCTGTCGGTCATGTGTATGAAGGTAGCTGGGGACTTGGGGAACCGCAGTGGGACAGAAACATTTTATGCTGATCCCTTTTGTACCTATTGAATTTTAAATCGTGTCAATGTATCATCTAATCGACAAATAATAAAGAAGAGCATTTTATTTTATTTTTTTAAAGATTTTATTTATTTATTTGACAGAGAGCAAGAGATCACAAGTAGGCACAGAGGCAGGCAGAGAGAGAGAGGGGGAAGCAGTATCCCTGCCGAGCAGAGAGCCTGATTCGGGCCTCGATCCCAGGACTCTGGGATCATGACCTGAGCCGAAGGCAGAGGCTTTAGCCCACTGAGCCACCCAGGCACCCCTAAGAAAAGCATTTTAAAAGAAAAATACATTAATCAGTTGTGTTTTAAAAAAATAAAAGCACAGTAGGAGACTATGAAATGGAACCAGACTTCCATTTGGAGTCCCACGGCTGTCTTTTCACCGTCTTTAAATCTGTTTCCTCACCCGTCAGGTGGGCTACTAACATCCACCTCAGAAGGTGGTTTTGAAGGTTTAACTAGAAGAGAGAACACACGCAAAGCTCTTAGTTCACTGCCTGACGTCAGTGAGAACATTCTGGGGCCAGAGCTGACTGGTGGGGCAATATGTTTCTATCACCTCTGCTGGAATAAACATGATGTTTGGTAAGGGGGTTGTGATTAATATTTTTATTTCACCTTCCCACAAAGGCAGGACAGGCTGAGGCCACCACGGGGATGAGGCACAAGGACAGTGTTAGGAAGACGAGGTGGAGGCTCCAGGCTGACCAGGAGCTGGGCTGACCGAGCAGCCTCTCACAAGCAGCTTCTTCCCTAAAAAGTATGTTTTCTTAGACATGAAGCTTTAAACCCCAAACCTTCACCCAATTTGTTTGTTTGTTTGTTTGTTTCAAGTCACTGCGGCTCCAACCCCAGCAGGCACAACCAGTAAGTCCCACTTTCACGGGGTCCCAGCTGCTGAGAGGGCTGCAGCTTGGGCCAGATGTTCACATGGTGCCCCTCTGTGTGGCTCTAGCTGTACCAGAAGCTTCAAGAGTATGAGAACTGTGGCTTTTGAATAAAATTTAGGGCCTCGCCTGGTGCATAGTAGTCACTCAACTATTAATATCATGGAAGGATAGAGCCGGAAAGGACCTCATTGTTCACCCATCACAACCCCATTTACTGGTGGAGAAACTGAGGTCAGAGAGCAGAGAGGGAAAGGACCTGTCCTAGGTCACTAGGTTGTTAAGGGCAAAACCAGGATCTCATGCCATTTCTCCAGACTTCTAGCCCCACAGTTTTCCCATACACCCCTCTAACTCTGCTTTATTTCTGACTTTGGAAAGATTTGCTAGAAGATCATGAAGAGCTTCCATCAGGGACTGCACTCAGAATAGGCCCCAGAGCCTTCCTTCCTCCCTACATGTTATTAAGCACGCAGACACCCTGGAAACTCCAAACCCCACATCCCCCAGATCCTAGCTGTAGGAGCCTCTGACCTGCAGTAGCTTCTGTGGTCCCCCTTGGCTGAGCAGTGGTGGGCAGAGCAGTTGGGGCCTTCCCTCCAGCCCTGCTGGTTGTCTTCAAGGTCTTGGCTAAGGTTGTGGTCTTGACTGAGGTGATGTTTGCCTCGAGGCTGCTATTGCCCATAATCAGGTGGGCAGAAGGAAAAGTGCTCCTGCTGATGGGGACAGACCCATCGATTGTTCTGTCTGTGGTACGAGGCTGTGAGGGGCTGGAGTTCTTGCTAGTGGCTCCGTGGCTGTGGCTGTGGCTGTCAGCCGTAGCAGGGGAAGCCACTTTACCTACCGTTGACCCAGTCTCTGTGGAGATTGTAACCACTCCTGAGACCTCGGTGTGGCTTGTCGTTTCCACAGAGAGGACTGCAGTTTTTTCCCAGGGTCCAATGCTGTCTGTCACCAAAGTTGTGCTGGGGGTCATGGGCTCAGCTGCTGTTGTTCCTCCTTCTATGGTGCTCTTAGCAGGTAGCGGAGTCTCAACTGGGGTATCAGGTGTGGCTGGTTCTGTGGCACTGGCTGCTGACGAAATCTCTGCGGAGGTCATGGTCTTGGTGAGGTGTGGTTCTGCTTCAGTGGAATAAAACAAAGCTGACACATCAAGGGAAGATGGGGTCTTTCCTCCTGTGGGGTCGAGAGCTATGTCAGAGGTCCCAAGGCTGGTGGCAGTTGTTAGTATTTCTGTGACGCTGCAGTTGGTAACCTCCATGTCAGTGAGGCTGTAGGCAAGCCAGTCTTTAGCTGAAGCATTCTGGTTGGGTGCCAGGGCCTGTGAGACGGTGATGGCCAGAACTGAGTGGTCCGAGAAGATGCTGCTGTCCAAGGCCAGGCCCTTGTCTTCTGCAGAGGTGTGAGCTGATGTCAAGACATCAATTATGAGCCTCTTCACCTCTTCGGAGCTGTCATCAGTACAAAGGGTGTCAAAGACAGCTTCCACAAGATCACTGCTTATTACAGTCTCCACTGTGGTCCTTCCAGTTGCCATGGGGCTGCCACTTGTGGCTGATGCCTCCATAGGAGTGGTGATCATAACCGTGAACTTGGTCGGTGTCATTTGTGTGAAGACCCTGGTCTCTGTTGCACGAAAAGTGGTCTCGGTTTTCCTGGTCTCTGCTTCTGAAATGGCACTGGTCAGGATTAAGTTCCTATCAAAGGTCTGGGTGCTCAGGGTTTGAGTTTCCAAAGGGGTATGGCTTGGCACAGAGGTCTCGACAAGGTCAGTGGTTTGGAAGTCTCTCTCTGAATTTGTCCGGATTCCCGGAGTCATGGCAGGCTCTTCTATGTGGTTTGTCATCACCAAAGGACCTGGTCTGCTGGTGCTGGGGCCTGTGTTAGGTAAGACCAACTTTGTAAGCCATGAGTCCCATTGGACTAATTTCACACATGTTCTTGTGTTTATGCCCTGGGAACCCTGGGAGGAGGGTAGGGAGAGGAAGTTGCTTTTACAGCATTTTTCCTCTATACATACAAGGAAGAAGGAGGCGGTATCATCAGGAAGACCAGTCCCATGTGTCAGCCATGGAACTGGGGTTGCCTGTCTAATGTCTTCTTTTTTTTTTTTTAAGATTTTATTTATTGATTTGACAGACAGAGATTATAATTAGGCAGAGAGGCAGGCAGAGAGAGGAGGAAGCAGGCTCCCTGCTGAGCAGAGAACCCGACGTGGGGCTTGATCCTACGACCCTGGGATCATGCCCAGAGTTGAAGGCAGAAGCTTCAACCCGCCAAGCCACCCAGGCACCCCAGGCTGTCTAATGTCTTCTGATGACGCTAAGTGCTTCTGGGGCAAGCAAGACTCAGAATCTAGTTGATTTTTGGTCTGAAGCCATCAGAGGGAGTGCATGGGGCCAAACTCCAGCTTCAAGGGGGAGCAAAGAAGGTAGAGGTCCAAGTGAGCCAAGAAATACAGAGCGGGGACCACAACTCTCAGAACCTTCTGAAAGAATCCTTGTGACTTTTCCACTGATACTTTTCTTATCCAGCAGATGTTTCCCCATGGAAGTAAAAACCCTTCAAACCAGAAAACAACTGTGGTTTTGTATTTAGAGGTACCTGGGAGGACGGGGTGGAGGGGGAGAGGAACCTCCAGAGAGAGAGTATGTGATGGTTTCTGCAAAAGGGAAGGGATTAGGCAGAGTCCTTGGGAAAGGGGCAAGCTTCCCATCCCTGCTCATCTGAGATTGTGGGGATGGGACCCCAGAACTACTGAAATGATGCACCATCCATGTTCCACAGGTAACAGGAAGCCAAGGGAAGAAAACTTAACCCTTAAAGAGATGCTGCTAGCATTTCTCCACAGGCCAGAACATCTCTGGCCACTCGACAGACCGTCGGAGGTTGTGTGAGTGGTGGGTGGCGCTCCTTGCCTGGGGAGGCTACAGCAGGATCTTTTCATGCACCTACAAGCATGCCTCTCCCACCTACGGATGGGGAAGGGCTCTCTCTGTAAGTGGGCTAAGGACCCTTTCAGGGAAGGGTTGCCAGATTTAACAAATAAAAATACAGGATGCCCAATTAAATTCAAATTTGAAATTCAGATAAACAAGGAATAATTTTAATGACAAATTATGTCTTTAGTATGTGTATTTCTCATGTAATATTTGAGACATACTTACAGAAAAAAGCTTTGTTTCTTGAAATTCAAATGTAAGGGGATGCCCTGTGGTTTTCTAGTAACCCTACTCTTGGAAGGACAAGAATCAAAATATAAGCCCCCCTTTTCGGGGTTCCAATGATTTGAGATGGTCTTTACTGAGGTCTACTGGCCCAAAAGTACCCAAGCACCCCATGGAATTACAGGACCATTTGGTCACCTCTACCCTGGCTGTCAGGACTGGGCCCCAGGTCCTCAGCTTGTCCTCTTGTGTCTCTCCCTGAACGATAAAAGAGCACTGGGCCAGGAGACCAAAGACTGGGCTCCAGCCCTAGGCTTATTGCTTACTAGCTCTGGAGTCCCATGATTGACTGGTTCAAATCCTGACTCTGCCTCCTACTAGCCAAGCCAGTCACTAGACCTCTCCAAGCCTCCCTTGGGAACGAGGGTTACCCTACCTGCGTTGCAGGAGGTAGTGAGGACCAGAGGAGAAGAGGAATGGGAAAGTCTTATATACCAAAGCCTGCAAGGGTCACTAAGCATCCCTCCCCAGCCTTGTCCTCTCCAAGAGCCACTTGAGAGCACACAACCTTCTTTAATGAGGTGAGAATGTCAGGTTGTCCCCATGCACAGATTAGGAGAGTCATGACATACCAACTCTCATTAGTTGTTCACAAGTCATGCTTTTACAGGAATATACTTTCTTCTCCCCACTTCAAAGCCCAAGATATTTCTCTGAGCTTCCTCGGTCTCCGCACGGTGGAATCAAAGCCTTTCTGTGTCAACCCACACAGTGCTCTTGGGGTCTGACCACTGACCTCCTCCGAAGTATTTTCTTCCTTTCCCAGGAGCCCCGTGATATCATCCTGCTTTGAAACCTCCTTGTGCTTCCCAACCCACAGCCACTTCACACCCACTGGGACCCTCACATCCCCCACCCAAGTCTCTGACCCACCAGAGGTCTGCTCAAGCACAGCAAAGCCGACCCGGGCCTGTGCTCCTGTTGCTGCTTTCCCGGTCGTGCCTCAAACTGGCAGAGAGGATGGTGTGTGTACTGGGACCCTGAGTTTGAGTCCCTGCTCTGCTTCTTACCAGCCATGGGACCCTGATCAAGTCTCTGGGCTCCAAACCTGCATTTTCTCATCTGTAAAACGGAGCTAAGGGTACATATTCTGTAGGTTGTGAAGATTAGATTAAATTAAAACGTAAAACTTGTAGCACAAGCCAGGCAGATCATGAAGGCATACACGAGATGAAGTGGTCTAGAGGCTAGGTGCTTGCAGAATAAGGTGGCTTTGCAGGTGACTTGTTGAATCCTGGGAAGCCTCAGTCCCATCACCTCTGTGGGCAGGGGTGAGTAGGAATAAGACTCGTGTTTCTCTCTCGGGGTCATTGTGAAGATTAAAAAGAGCATGGGGGCATATGGGACATAGCTGCACCTTCTTCTCAATTTTGCCATGAAACTAAAACTGCTTTAAAAAATAATCTTTTTTAAAAAAGATAATGCAGAGTGCTCCTGGGTGGCTCAGTTGTTAAGTGTCTGTCTTCCGCTCAGGTCATGATCCCAAGGGTCCTGGGATCAAGACCCGATCAGGCTCCTTGCTCGGCAAGAAGCCTGCTTCTCCCTTTCCCACTTCTACTTGTGTTCCCTCTCTCATAGTGTCTCTCTCTGTCAGGTGAGTAAATAAAATCTTAAAAAAAAAGATAATGCAGGATGCTGATAGAAGGGGAGACCAAGTCTAGCAGGTGTACAGAGGTGACATGGGAATCTCAGTACTTTCTGCTCAGTTTTGCTGTGAAACCAAAACTGCTCTCCAATAAAAGTCTATTAAAAAAAAAAAGACAATGCATGCAACAAGCTTAGCAAGGTTCTAGGTTAGTTCTCTTCTTCCATAACAGCCCTGGCCCCCTCAGAATCCACCCTCCCCAAGCAGTCGGTGACAGACTTTTCACACACAAAAACTAGTTTTTAAAGGAAATCTGGGCTGGGAAATAAACTTGGAGGCATTAGAAGCTGGTCAAGCCACTTTCTTTGGCTTTAGTCAGATTTATCCCCTTCCACCAATCTGCCTCACTTGCCCCCCCAACTCCCATGCAGAAAAACAAACCCACAGTCACAGCACGGGGACGTCACTCATTCTATGGACTGCAGTGTCAGATGTGCATCAGCTGACCTCCTGTTTACCAAGGAATACGTCAGATGCAGCTTTATGGTTAATTGTAATTAACCCAAGAGGGCCGCTGGTACAGAAACTTACACCCAGAGCTCTTTGGGAGAGAAGCACCCCGTCTCCTTACCTGCAGAGCTCCTGGGGGCCCCAGCCTCCCAGCAGAAGAAAAGGGACAGAGCCAAGCCCCAGAGAAAGCCCATCCTCAGGGGAGCTCTGGCCACCATCGCCCAGCACGTCTGCCCACCGCCTTGCGCTGCCACCTTTTCCTGCTTCCTCAATCTGGGGCGGAGGGCGGGTCACCTGCCTTGGTGTGGCTGGGTAGTTTCCAGAATGCAGCCAGGTAATCACAAATGCCCTGGCGGAGAGTTGGCAGGGTGCATGTCACGGGCTGTCAGCAAGCTAACCCTCCCGCCCACCCCTGGCCCGGCGACCTCTCCTCTCTGGACACTTGGAGGAGTTTGATGGTGAGATATGGAATCATTTCCACAGTGATAATCACCGCCTCAGTCCTGCAGCCAGGGTCACCAGGGAGGATGGTGTTTCACGTTTCCCCCTTTTCTATAACCCTTCCTCCTCCCTCCACCCCTGTGCATGGGACTTAGTCTTTTAGTTCAGTAGACCTGGGCTTCATTTCTAATCCTAGCCTTTATTAGCTCCGTGATCTAGGGCAAATGAATGAACCTTTCTGAGGCTCAACTTCCTGATCTAAAAAATGGGCATCGTCCTTACCTTTCTGGGTTGTTTTGTGAGGATTACACGAGAAAGTAAAGTTCTTACACAGCTCCTGCTGCACACTTGTGGCTCATGGAGTACACCTGCACCTGAGCTGCTCAGTATGAGAGCTCTCAGGTCATAAGATAGAGCCCCATGTTGGGCTCTGCATTCGGCACAGTCTGCTTAGGACTGGCTCTCCCTCCCCACCCCACTGAAAAAAATAAATAAATAAAATCTTAAAATAAGTAAATAAGTGAGAACTCTGGCATCTACTGTGATCCTCAAGCAACAGAGAGAACGGACAGCCCCCCAAGGTCTGCAGGGGACAGGGTGGAGCGGGACTCTGACCTCTAACGTCTTTCTGATGACTCCTGTGATTCTGCATCCCTGTCAGAGTCAGGATCACGTCCAGAGCCAGACTGGAGTGTGGGATGGGGAAGGCTCACTAGCCGGGAGAAGGGAAAGTGTAGGTGTGCAGGTCAAACTACAGGGCCCGGGAGGAGGGAAATGTGAGGGTGATGACTTAGGGAAGCTTGCAGGATTTGGTCACAGGAAGTGGAGTGAGGCTGAAGAATATATTTCCAAATGCCCTAGAAAAGAATTTTAGCCCTGGTCATGGCCACGACCAGTGGTAGACAAGGTACCTTGGGGATTTCAGGGTCAGAGTATTGTGATGAAAGCCACTCTAGAGTAGAATGGCTCAGCATCGAGAAATCACAAAATCCCACTGCTGGAAGGAACTTCGAAGAGCAATCAGAAAACCTAAGTTCAGTTTCTGGCTCCATCCTTAACTGTGGCCCAAGAATTGTGTGATTTTGGACAAGTTATTTGCCTTCGCTGGGCTTACATCAATAAGATCCCCTTGGCCACGCAGTCTGAGGTTCTGCATTTGGGTGTGAGACGCTGTCTTCTAGAACTTCACCCTGCGCTGGGATTAAGAACTCTGCTGCCTGGAAGAAGGAGGGTGTCAGCCCAGAACATGGGGGGAGGAAGACTCTGTGAGAAGAGGCTGAGGGGGTCCACCCAGGACACCGCCCATCATGCAGAGTCTGAGATCTTGAAACCCAGTTCCAACTACACCATTGATCTGTAGAGTACTCCTGACAGGCTGAACCCTTCTACCCTCCCATTCAACCTAAATCTTTCACTTTATCAAATGGGAGGATGGATTTCCCCTTTGGGGGTTTCTGGTGAGGAGGGGAGGTCCCAGGGCCACAGCAATGACCTGAATTCTGTTTGGCCAGTCTAGTAGCGTGTATGTGTGTGTGCAATCCAGTGTGGGGCTTCCCCCTAGAGAAGACGGAAGAAACTCCAGCAAAAGTAGAGAACTCTTAAATAAATACAGAGAACAATCCTGTGGTGGCCAGAGAGGCAGATAGGGGTGTGGATAAAGAAGGGAATAAAAAGAACACACCTCCAGTTACAAATAAATAACTCATCGGAATGAAGAAAGCAAGAGGAAGGAAGGAAGGAAGGAAGGAAAAAAAAAAGAAAAGAAGAAAAGAAAAAAGAAAGAATGCATAGCTCCTTTCTGCTACTTCCCTCCCCTGCTGGGCAGGCTCTCTGCCCCACCCCAGGCTGGGAGAAGGAGTTCCTCATTCCAGCAGCCAGTGGCTTAATCCACAGACTGAAGCATTCCAGGTGCCTTTCTCATGCCCATCACAGACTTCTCACCATTTCCTTTCTCTTGCTATCATTTAAACCAACAACTAATCTCCAGCTCAGTTGCCTATGATGGAATCTAACCAGGAACCCACTGGCAGGGAAGCCCCGTTGAATACTTCCCTGAGTTTGCTGGATTTTGTCTGGTCCATCTTCCTCTATGTCTGGGGGGATTTCCAAACCTGAGCACATGACTACTGACCCTGGGACCATAATAATCAAATCCAGAAAGTTTCTAGACCTTTTTTTTCTTCCCAACCAAATTCAGCTCTCACCCTGAATGAGCATCGGAGGCTGATTTCATTAACTTAACGAACATATATGGAGCACCCACTATTTGCCAGCCACTATTCTAGGCATTTAGAATATGTCACGGAGTAAAACAGATCCCTGAGCTCATGGAACCAACTTCCTAGTGGAAAGAGATGGCAAATAATAAACACAATAAATAAGTGAACTACGTAGGAATGAATATTATGGGAAAAAGAAGAATCAGGTATTGGGGAGGCAGGGGGGAAGTGCAGTTTGCTGTGTTAAATAGCACGGTGAGATCTAAGTGATCTGAAATGGGTGAGAAGGTTAGCCAGGTGGATACCTCAGAAAGAGCATTCCAAGCAGTGGGAGCTGCTAGGGAAAGGTCCAGAGGCCTAAGGCAGGATCAGGTCTAAGGAGCACCGAAGGGCCTTGGACTGGAGCCATGCTAGGGGGCAAAGTGGGGGTGAAGGGGGGACAGAGTGATGGGGTGGGTAGATGAAAAAGGGCCTTGTCAGCCTTAGGGTTGATACTCTGAGTGAGGTGGGAACCACCCCTGGGGAGTTTTTTTAGCAGAGGAGTGATGGGATCTCAGTTTAGAAGGATCACTCTGGCAGCTGGGCTAAGAATGGGATGCTTTTTCCCTAGTCCAGGCAAGAGATGAGGGTGGCTCTAACTGTGGAGGTAGCAGAGGACATAGTGGGAGTTGGTCAGGTTCTAGATATATTTTGAAAATACTGCCCACATGATTTCCTGCCAGATTGATGTGGGATGTCAAGGAAACAGAAGTCAAGAATAAGTACAAACTTTTCAGGGTGCCTGGGTGGTTCAGTCGGTTAAGTGTCTGATTCTTGATCTCAGCTCAGGTCTTGAGCTCAGGGTTGTGAGTTCAAGCCCCACCCTGGGTGTGGAGCCTACTTTAAAAAAAGAAAGAAAGAGAGGGAGAGAGAGAGAAAGAAAAGAGAAAAAAGTACAAACTTTTCAGCTTGAACAACTGGAAGGATAGAGCTGTCAGTAACTTTTGGGTCTGGCTTTTTCATCAGAGTATTTAGAACCCCTCCCCCCACAATGAAACCAATGCATATCGTAGGGATGAATCTGTTTCAGGACAAGTGTTATCAAGTCAAGTGCTAAGCACCAGTCTGCCAAGAGTCTGATAAAAGAGTCTACTTGGCCAAATATCCTTGAAATACAAGGTTGTAAACCTGCTCGACCACTGAATTATAGGCCACAGCTAAGTTGTTCTGGATTTGTTGGGAGGAAAAGACTTTTGCTCCTCCAACTTGGGTCCAGTGATTGAGGACCCACCAATTAACTGAGAACAGACAGATCAACAGGAGAAAAGACCAAGTTTATTGACTTGGGGCCCAGGAAGTTGCTCAGTATTGAGGAACTCATTGAATAACTAGAGATCAAGATTGATATACCAAATGTAATGAAGGAATAGGAGTGAAAGAGGTGGGGGAGGGGGTTTAGGGCTTCCCTGGGAAGTTAGAGAAAGTTCTATTAGGCAGTCTGTCTCCATGGCAGCTGAATGTGCTAGGAAATCACTCAGAGGGAGATTAATGGCAGCTATATTTTTGGAAAGTTCTGCTTTAGTCAGTTAAGAGAAGTTCAGATAACATTTCTTTCTACATCTTCTGAAGCGCCAATGTTTCGACTTTAAAGTATCTTTATATCAACTCTGGGGGTCCAAAAGTGTTCCTACAAGTTCAAAACATGGAGTATGCACAGATTGTTTAGATGAGATCCTGTCAGGCAGATTTACCACAGAAAGGGGGATGAGAATCATCTAAATTTGAAAGGACCTGAGAACTGGCCCACCACCCTAACCCCTATTCCTTGGGCTATCATACAGGAAACTCCAGGGAGCCCTCTGTCCACTTGTTCATTCATCTCTTTATTAGGGAATAACCCACATGGTGTAAACTACATCAATCCTACAATTTAATGAACTTTTACATATGAATACACTCAGGAGGTATCCACCACTCAGACAGAGATAGAAGATATTTTCAGCATCTCAATAGGTCCTCATGTTCCCTTCCAGTCAATATCTCCCCACCAAATCATTCTTACCTCTATCACCATAGTTTAGTTCTGCCTATTTTTGAACTTCATACAAATGGAGTTATGAATACACACTCTTTTGTGTCTGTCTTCTTGTTCTTAACATTATGCCTGTGAAACTCAGCTGTGTTGTTTTGTGTAATAATAGTCCATTCTTGTTTGTTGTTAGATAGTATTCCATTGTATAAAGTATACCACAATTTATTTATTCACTTTCTACTGATGGACATTTGGATTGTTTCCAGTTTTTCACTATTCTTTTTTTTTTTAAAGATTTTATTTATTTATTTGATAGAGAGAGAGAGAGAGAGAGCGAGAGCATGAGCAGGGGGGAAGGGTAGAGGGAGAAGCAGACTAGCCGTTGAGCAGGGATCCCAAAGTGGGGCTTGATCCCAGGACCTCAGGATCATGACCTGAGCCAAAGGCAGATGCTTAACAGACTGAGTCACCCAGGTGCCCCAGTTTTTCACTATTCTGAAGAAAGCTGCTGCAAACAGTCTTGCATATGTTTTGGTTATACATACCTATGAGTGGAATTGCTGAGTCATTGGGCATACATGTGTTTAGATTTTGTGTATTGTATCCAAATCAATTGTGCCAGCTTCCACTATACCAGCGACATGTGAGAGTTCCAGTTGCCC